CCGGCATTGGTGTGCCACCCCCAGGCTCTACTCTAGTGAGCCTGCTTCCTTTTATGGAAGCATCATGTATATTTGTCCATGTGTGTTTATGCCTATTTACATCTATATAGAGTGTAATCAGATGTGATCATGGGTCCTTAAATGACCAGCTGATTCTAGTGCTAGTAGCACATTTCTGTCATTGTCCTAGCAAAGCTTTGTTAAAATAATATGATTCAAACAGCAAGCTGTTCTGTTTCATTTAGTTCTGAACACACCTTGAAGTTTCTCTTGAAAGGGTTTGGCATTCAATTTTTATTCCCCTATAGAGAATTTTATTTCTTCTTTCCAGCCTCAAGTTTGAGGCTTCCAGCAGATCTGCCTTCCAGTTCTTGCAATACTGTGACCGACCCCTTCATTTGCCTTTAGAGCTACAGACTTACTTGTCTAGAAGCTAGATTTCCTCAACAGTTAATGGGGAGAGAAAGGCATGTTCAGCAGGTAACTTATCCCTCCTGTTTTGCTACATATCTTAAATGGGATTAATCACCTGAGGGTAGTGTCTTTCTTTTCACTGATAGATGATTGTTTTGACTCCACGTCTAGTCTAAGAAACTTGCTCAGAACTTAAGGTAGTTACAGTTGGGGTGCGGTGGTGTTTTTTCACCTCTGATAGCCTATAAACTTCACCTGTACGTTTTCCCTCCTGTTGGTTTTAGCCCATTTATTTTCCTGCAGGGGAAGAGGTGCTATTGCTTATATCCTGACCTGGGGTGCTTTGGGGGAAGATTACTTTTCCCCATTCCCAGAGTTGGTGTCATGAGGAAGAACATATTGTCAAGGAAGGCGATTTAGGGAGTGATGAGGTTCTGGGCACTTTTGTGCTCTCTCCTGTGTAAGTACTAGCTTCTAAAAGAAGTGTCTCTGCTTCTGGAGTACAGCAGAGACCTGTCTGATTCTTGCCTCAGTTGGGTGCACTCAGCCTGGAAATGGGCTAGTGTGTCAGGCGGTGATTCAAAGGAAGATCCCCCCCCCAGATTATTATTCAGAAATTTTCCTCACTTCTTAGAAATGCTCATAGCTTGGGTCTTTCATCCATTGTGACCAGGTTCATTTTAAACATGAATACCAACAACTGTTGCATGTGATCTTATAGTGACATTGTTTATAAGCATGGTCTTGTGCCAAGTGTAATTTGACATGTTTACGGATCTTGATTACAGCTGACGATGGCAAGGATGTCATTCCCACCTTACAAGGAAATTGTAACCACAAGCAGAACTCAGGTGAAGAGACTTAAGAAAACTGCCTTTAGATGTGTACATACTGATTGTCAGTATACTGCGAACCTCCCTTTGTTCTTTGTTGCTTTTCTTTTTTTTCTTTTTTCTTTTTTTTTTTTTTGCTCTTAGGTGCCATAGATGACTTATTAGATCTGCAACCTGAAGAAAATGGTATGAAACGTTTGTGCATATCTGTTTCATCTGCTTCTCAATTACAGGCACCAAGTATAATTTTAATCTTAGATCTTAATTGTTTTCATAATCTGAAAGGTTGAATGAAATTATTCAGCTTCAGTATTTAAACAGTGTTAAAGGAAACTCAACTTCATCTATGTGCAGAGGCACTATTCCTGATGTTACAATGTGAAGTAAACCTTACTGGGGATAAAACGCATCATAACAGGTGATTCAGGGTTAGGTATACCAGACTATATCATATCTGCCCCAGTGGAGTAGGTTCCAGTGTAAACCTTACCCCTCGTATAACATTTCACAAACTTTTATTTTTGTTGTATCACAACCCTTGGCAATACACTAGTAACCACAAGGTTTTATACCAGAAATGTACGTATCAGAAACAAATTATTTAGTCCTTTCAAAATCATATAAGAACTGGTGACTTCTTTCAGCCAGGTAGTTAATTAAATCTGCTGTGTTGTTCTCATACGCATATGAGAAAGCAATCCTTCATTCCAGGCTCTACTCCTGTCTTTATGCTTTTGTTAGATCAGCTGGGCAGCTCAAGGGGATCTGCTGTTTATTTCCAAAGGGAAAAAAGGAAAAATATGTTACATGTTTACCATGTAACATATGAAAGATCTGATACTGAGTTTTCATATGCAGTAAGAGTATTGCCTATAATTTCTTACTTGCTTTTCACTCATGTGTCTCAGAAGAATGAGTAAAAAAAACTTCAACAACAACAAAAATAATTGTGGCAACTCAAAAAGCAAGTTTGCAAAGAAAAAAATCCCTTTGTGTGGTTTAGTCAGTCAGACTGAGCGTGTAATTTGGGGTTATTTAAGGCACTGCCTTAAAGGAAGAGAACATTTGCAAACACCTTGACTTTGGATTTGCCACGGGCAGTCTCTTGCACTGTGGAGAAATTACCCATGTGGGGAATCACCCATGAAGGCAGAAACAGGGAAAGTTCCTCAGCTGCCTGTGCAGAAGGCAGCCCTAATGTGTGGATAGATAAGGTAGTGATAACTTCTTTTCTGTGGTTAATAAAAGAGGTCAGTGTATGTCTGATAGTGGCCTTTTTATTTCTGGTTTTCTCCTTACTCAGTTCCATTCCTTGTTGGACCTTCTTAGTGGAGATAATGCATACAATTATTGGTCATACAAGTTTAGCTATGTCAGTTAGAAGGCTATTTTTTTTTCTTTAGTCAAATAGTTAAATCAATACGAAAGCAGTTGTGGGGCAGCTGCATCAGATAAGGATGGTTATGTTAATGTTACACTATCAGCCATTTACCCTAATTTTACACACTAACTAGCTTTAGGCTAATGAATACTGTATTTGAAGTGCAGCAGTATAGTTAGAGGTACACTTCTGTGTGTGTTTCAGAAGGAAGTCTTTATCCTGTGTTTCCTGTCATGTATCATTGTAAATATTTTTAGTTTCTCTTTGCATTTAATTTTTTTAAATACCAGCAAAACAAGCCATGTTTGCAAAGGAGTATGAGCACTGCTAGAGGCTTTTTCAAACTACAAAAAAGAATATAGTGACATCATTTTTTCAGTGTTCTATTGGGAGTTTTGGGGTTTTTTTCATGGACATTTATAAGGTTAGGGGCAGCATGTGCAGACAAAAAAAGGATTTTGACTGTGAAAATGGGCAGTGAAAACAGAGAAACCGGAAAAGAAGTAGTAGTAGATTAAGTCCATATTATTCTAGTAATCTAGCAGAGATACCACATGAGTAATATCTCGATAAGCAAGACTGGTTTCAAGATAACCTTTATTGCAAACAAGAGTAGAACTTACTGGTGCTTACTCGAGGCAGCCTGAGCATAAGCACCACTCTATCCTCCCCACCCACGGGTGCGTCAACCCCGCAGGAAGATCAGAAAGACTGCTGAGACAAGAAATGTGTCAGTCCTCTGATGTCTGGTGGTCATACGCACTACAGCAAGACCTAACTGCTCTTCAGATGTAAAGCTATATGTTGTACTTTCTCCCTCAGTGAAAATGGGACTACTGCAGTGGGATACCCAGATGAAGTAGAGCTTTGCTCTGAGATGTTTTGCTGCAAAGCCTTTGTTCCATTATAGTAAATGTCCTGTGTGGTTAGGTACAGTGTTGGCGGTCTATTACTAATGATGCTCTCTTTGCATCTCCCCTTGTAAACTTTCCAAGTTCATGCAGGGGCCTCCTGAAAGCAGGTTGGAGATGGTGATGCTCTGTAGACATCAGAGTTCTTAAGGGCCTTTGAAAATAGCAAGTGTCTTTCCCCTACAGAAGGATTTACCCCTCTGCCTCACCTGCTGAATAGGTGGGGGGAATTGTAGGTGCTTGGACAACATTAACATTCTTTGCTGTTTATCTGAAGATGGGAAGGCAGCCTGAAAATTCATGAGAACAAATTGTTTTCTGTGGTGTTTTATTTATAGTCTAGTGGGAACATGAGGAGAATTGACATGTTTGTAATGTTTCTATTTCTAATTTTTGGGCCCTGTCGGGGAGTACAGAGGGATATAAAAATGTGGATTACAAAGGAGCTGAATCTCAGAGCAGACTTCAGCAATGAATAAAATCCTTACGTTATGTGTTGTTTATTTGTTTCTTAGTACGTAGGTGTGTATGCTGACTCATCAGCCTATTTTAAAACATAGTTTTGTGCTTTTTTTTCCCTCCTCTGACTCAACTTCAGCCATTTCATTATAAATTATTACATCTATTAAAAAGTAACTTTCCCAAGAAAGCTGTTGCATTTAAATAAAATGGCCTGTTGCAACCACTTTGCTACTATCAATCTTTTATCCCAACCCAGAAGGGTTAAAAACATCTTTGCAAGTTGTATTCAACTCGCAGAGCTCAGCTGATCTATCTGAACTTTGGAAAAGTGAAGTTGTTTCTGTGCTTTACCACAAGTTCGAAACAAGCATAATTAAGATAAACTGATCTGGGTTTCAGTAACGTAACATTATCAACGTTGTTAACCGCCATTTTTGTCCTCTGCATACTCCCACAGTGGAGCTCTAAATGTTTCCAAGTAAAATAACACTTGGGGTTCCTTGACGGTTCTTTCACTCTCCAAATATTTTGTAAGCTAGAGAAAAGGATTACATTTCTGGTTACAAGCTTCATGTATTTTATATAACTATTTAACATTTCTAAAATAGGAAAAATTGTTTTTAAGGAGTAATGGCTCGAATGATCTAAAAGCTTCTTCAGTTGCAGTTCTGGTGCTAGAAAAACTAGCAAGGGGAATCAGAAGGAAAGTGGCTCCAGTTATTTCTCAGCAGCCTCAGAGAGGGAAAAAAAAGTTACTACAGCATTGAACAGTGTAGAAATCTCACTCTATGTAGAGTAACCTATTCTCATGGGGAAATACCCCAGTAAGTCAAGCATTGGTCAGAAGGTCATAAAGGTAATCTTAAGTATGTTCTTACAAAATTCTAGAATAATCCCCAACTCTTATTTATTTTCAATTTATACCAATCTGATTTTTTTTGACAGTTTTATATAATGCTTCAAAAAGCAACATAAAAGTAGTCTTCTCCGATGTTTTAAATATTAGACTATATAATGATTTTAGTGTGGTGTTTAATAGATTTTTAAGCACACTTACTATTTTTAATGAGAAATGAGTCTTAACAGCAGTGAAGTTATCTAAGATAACCAAGGAATTACTTGTTGCATAAGTACAAGCCCAGATGTCCAAGAGAATTGGGTCTAAAAGAGAAAACAACAAATATTCACACAAAAATATTCTATCTCACTCAACATACAAAACCTAGATTGGATGTTTTAAAAAGGTTCCTTCTTTTCTTTCTTTGTCTAAAAAATTATTTATCTTGACTCTCTTGTTCTGAGACAGCTTCAAAAGATCAGTTTGTGAGGTCCTTGGAGTCAGAACCTGGTGATAAGGATGACATGGTATTACTGAATGAGATCCTCAACGCTTCCTCCCTGGACGAGGGGGAATTCAGCAAAGAATGGACAGCTGTTTTTGGACAGGTTGCACTTGCTGATCTCACCATGAACTCTTCAGCTGGAGATACGGAGAACACTTCATCTGTGGCACCAACACCATCAGGCTTCTTGCCCTCACAGCTGTTAGACCAAAACATGAATGACTTGCAGTCATCTTTACATGGTGAGAGCTCACCTTGTTCTGTTAGCGTTTTGGGTTTAGGTTTTAGAGTATGGTTTTCTGCTATGTAGTGTTTTCTGCTGTGTGGTGACAGCTTATGTTGTGCCATAGCTGCAGAAACCCTGAAGTTAAAGCAGAGTGTGGCCTGGAGAAGAACATGTGAGTGGCATATTTGGTTTTCTAGCCCTGCTCATTCAGTGTTTGTACCCTAAAACCTGAAGTCAAAATTACTGTCTGAATATTTTCATTGAGCTTCCTGAAATGTTCTGTAGGCCTTTGAGACATTCTTTTTTTGTAACAGAAAATCTGTTTGAGTGGGTTTTACTGTTCAAATCACAACTGCAGTATCTCTTAAGAGGCCAAAGAATTTTGTCTGGGAATACTATTTTTAAACAACTTAGTGAAAATCGATTGCATTCATTAATTTTCTTTTTTTTTTCAATGCATCCCATACTGTTGCGTGTAGGGTTATGGGTAAAGCAGAATGGGTTGTCTCATCCTAGCAACAATACAGGTGGATTCCTCCTGTAGGCAGGTCATCTACTCATGCAACTCTTTCTCTCCCCTTTCGTCTATGCAGTTCATTTTCTTGGGTTTTCCAAGCTGCTGCTGAGGGGTGAGGAAA